AGATCTTATGGTCTTGGGCTTTCTTTTTTCTTCCTTCCCCTGGGAGTGACCTTAATTCATTTACCAGTAATTAATTTATTAGCCAATGAGAAGCACACGTCAGGGACTCTGTCCTGATTTCTAGAGTTTTATGGCCAGGACCTCAGTTCTGTTTTTCTGTCTTGAGAAGAAAGGGGTACTGTAGTCCCCCAAGCAAATGAGGTACTCTTAGCTTATGAAGCATCACAGGATCTGGCTTCTCTTCGGGCCCAGGAGGTATGCTGGCCTCTTTTTTTCTTTTCAATTTTAGGTTTTTTTTTCCAATTACAGTAGACATTCAATATTGTATTAGTTTCAGGTGCACAGCATAGCAGTTAGACATTTGTATAACTTACAAAGCGATCACCCCAATCAGTCTAGTGCCCGCCTGGCGCCATACAAAGTTATTACAATATTATTGACTATATTCCCTATGTACTGGCCTTTTTTCTCTCAGCAGCTCTTCCCCTGATTTCTCTCTTTGGTGCCACCTCTAGGGAACTTGCACTCCCCATTTTGTGATTTGCAGAGAAATACCTTCCCCACTTTGACCTATCTTTTCTCCCCGAACCCCAACCCCAAACCACCTCCAGGGCCCTGCTTTCTCTTTTACCCCTCTTTGCTTCCCATTCTCAGAGCTGATTTTCTGGTGAGGTTGACCAGTTCTTCTGTCCTAATTCTGCTCAGTTTTGTTCCCTGTTGGGGTGTCGGAGTCTGGGGGCCTGGCGGGGAGGAAAAGGGAATTAAAAAAGGACTTCACAGTGGTCTGACCTCAAGGTAAGATATGTGGGGGAAAAATCTTTCCCACTTTCCAAATGAACAATTCTATGGGAACTTCCTATGTGGTGTCTTCTGAGCGCCTCGCTTTGTCATCCAGCCTGATGACTGCAGGAAGATGAATGGAACAGAGGGAAAAAAAGCCATCCTGTCCCATTGTTGAAAGTGGCAGTCAAGGTAGCGAAACAAGCATAAGGTCACACACACACACACACACACACACACACCCTTTATCTGTAACATTTTACCAAGTTAACTGAGGCGTATCTTCTAAAAAGGGCTTAGCTTACGACACTCTCCCTGCACGCCATAAGCAAGCAAAGCAAAAATGAACAAATAAAACAGTGTGATGAGGAGTGTGCACTAGGCTCCGTCCTGGAGGTTTCTAGAAGGACACAGTTCTGAGACTTGACGTCTTTTCAGCAGCACTGGAATCAATGGCAACCTGAAAATGATCATTCGGAAGGTGCATATGAGCAGAGAGAGCTGAAAAATTAGTATAATTTGAGTAGAGATGTTTTAGAGACACTTATGTGCCTGTGCCACGTCCTTAGTTAAATTTCCAAATTTGCATGCATCTTGGTGTAAAAATATGCAGTACAGTTATTAGTTCAGGATCTCCCCTCCTAATCCAATTCTGAAAGTCTACAAGAATTCTGTGGGGGCTAAAAAACATTAATACTTTTCCTCCCACCTTCTAAATTCTTCTGGCTGGGCTAACTACCAAACTAACAGAGACGGATTAACAGGAGAAAATGAATGTTTAATACATATGCATGGGGAACTCACATAGGCATGAAATTTCATGAAAATTCCAAAGACAGTGAGGTGGCATTGGGTATATAAGATGGTTTTGGACAAAGGAGAAAGTAGGGGGACGGGGTCTTAGATTTCAGAAGTGAGAATGTGCCATTCATACAGGTAGTTGAGGAAGAGCACACAGGGCAGGAAACTCCTGGCTGGGTGACTCAGAAACAATGGGACACAGGGGGTATCTAGCTAATGGGCCCCTGTCTGAAGCCCTCTATCTACCATACTCAATTCAAAGTAGCCTAAGGCGACATCCTAAGATCTCCTTCCTGAAGCAGGTTTCTCCTTCTGAATCTCTTGGGCAGGAAAGAGGGGAGGGTCAAAGGTTCTTTCTGAGTCTTGTTTCTTAAGAAAGAACTTAAAATCAATATCCCAAAAGGGCAGCTTCAGGGTGGCAAAACGTTGGTGCCTTTCAGTGTCCAAGTGGGGAGAATCCTAAGCACCTGGCTAAGGAGTGTAGACTTTTTCCTAGTAGCCAGGGGGATTCGCTGAAGTTGTTTTGAGCATGAGAGAGATAAAGGAAACAATATTTTAGTAAGATTATTTTGGCATAATTATGCCTAAAGGATTTCATTGGGAAAGACAGAAAAGTGGGAGGATGAGTTGAGGAACAACAGTTAACAGTTCAGCCTTGAAGGGAACGGGCCTGGATTAAGGTGTGTGTAGCGGGCATAGGAAGGAAGGTTGGTGCAAGATATTGCGTGGAAAGAATCGGCTGAACTTGCTGACTGAATTTGAGGTGGGACTTATGGGGAGGGGGGAACCAAAAGTGACTCTCAGTTTCTAGAGTATGGCTACTTGGGATAAAGACCGTGCCATCGGCATTAACAGTGGGAATAAATATGATAAGATACCCAAGTGGAAATGTCTAGGACATGGGTGGGAATTCAGGACTGAAATTTAGTAATCTTATCTCAATATAGAAATTTGAGACATCCAATAGGGGTTGGAAATACAATTCCATTTTTACCAGTTTAAAAAAAAATTTTTTTAAAACATTGGGATGCCTTCTATAAAAGTATATGATTTTTCTGAGCAATGTATATAGTGAGAGAAGAGCAGAGCGCTGAGGACTTGACTTGCGAACTTTGGATAATACACAATTAAAAGATAGAAATTGGCAGAGGGCCCCAGTAAGAGTGAGAAATGGGAAAGGGAAGTTGGGGAAGAAAGAGAACCAAAGTAACATAAACTAATAAGGGCCACAGGAAGAGGAAATTTCAAGAAGGAAGTTAAGAGAATGAAAACTGAGTAATCACAGAGAGATCTAACCCAGAGGAAGTAATTCGTGATCTTCATGTGACCAACCATTAAATGGTGGGCAAGTAATAACAATTCTTTTCCGTAGTTAAATTCAACAAATATTTATAGGCTACCACAGATGCTTTTTCCCTTATCTTTCTCAAGTTGAGTAAGGGTTCCCAAAGGTCAGATCTATTAAATGTGGTTTTGTCACCGGACCAGTTCCATGAAGGAGGCTGGCGCTGGCGCTGGCCCTGCCCCTGCAGGGTCTGGGTCCTCCAGGCTCTTGACTCATACAGGAAAGAATCCAGGGACGAGTCCGAGTGAGAGCAAAAGCAAGTTTTATGCAGGTAAAGAAAAAGAGGCTAGGACATGGGATCCCGGAGACAGGATCAGGGGTTGGGCAGCCCGCTGCCCCCCTGGTTGCAAGCCTCACAGGGCACAGCTGCAAAAGAAGCTAAAATACACTTCAAAGTGGACACGGACGAGCTCATGAGTAAGTTGTGCACTGAGTCGGTCAGTTCTTGGGATTTTATGTTTCCAAGGGTGGGTCGTTTCTGAACTTCGTGGCACCAAATTCTGACTGTGCCTTCTGGTTGGGACGAGAGGGTCCTGTTCCTAATATGGTCTGTTCCAGAAGTATCATGATGTTGGTCCTCCTCAGGCCCCTTCTATTTGTTCTGTCAGTTTTCATTATAATGATGGTATAATGAGCTTTGGGGTCGTTCTCTGGTCTGTTTTTCTTCCATCTTGGACTGATCTGGTTTTAGCCAGTCCTTATTGTTGTTGACTTCTGCAGCCAGGAGTTCCCGGCAATAAGCTATTTCCTTTTGATCACGCATGGAGGTGGGGGCTCTGGTGAGAGGACTTCCTCATTCCCTACCTTCTTTCTATCTTGGGTGTTTCCTTGAATGATAGGATCTTAAACAAAATTTGGTACCAGGTTGATCTATAAGAAGGAGCTAAAGAAGAACCATCATTTTCTCTGACCTATAGTATAATACTGGCAAATGGGAATAATTTTAAGGAGTTGCTTCTCTATTGTAAGGAATCTTAAGTCAGGGGTTAGCATAATCAACCATATTATGCTAACCTCTGACTGACCCAGGTCATATTCTATCAATAGAATATGGTACTATTTAAAGACCATTGTTTGGTTGATGGGGTGGGCTTGAAGTCTGGGTCATAAAAAAATGACTGCTTTGGGGACTGAATCTTTGAAATTTTGCTACGTCTAGAGAGATTTTATTCAGTTTAAGCTCCATTTCTACTTAAAATAGACCTGTAGTGGCCATAAAGAAAGTAAATAAAACTTTTCACATCTGACCCTTTGGGTGGTGCCTATATAGCTTATTTTCAGAAAATGTTGATTTTTTAAAATATTCACCAGTTTCACCTTTAAGTTTTAGCTATTTGTGGCTCAGCTGCAGTAATCACTTCACTTCTCCAAATGTCGCTGAACTTGCCATCCTTATGCTCTGGGGCTCTGTCATGAATGGACCCAGCCCGAGGGGATGCTAAAAGGGCTGAAATGGAATGTTTGGGCAGTGTAGAAGGAAAGTGTGGGGACTAAACACATATTAATACTTTTCCTCCCACCTCCCAAATTCTTCTAGGCTGGGCTAATAACCAAATTAACAAAGACAGATTAACAGGAGACAATCAAAGTTTAATACATGTGCATGGGGAATTCACATAGGCATGATAATTCCATGAAAATTCCAAAAACAATGAGGCAGCATTGGGTATATAAGACATTTTTGGACAAATTCGAAAGGCAAGGAACTGGGTGTTAGATTTCAGAAGTGAGAACGGGCGATTTACGGGTATTTGAGGAAGATTAGAACATATGTGGCGAGAACTAGGCAACTCAGAAACCATGGGACCCATGTGTCCCATGCTTAATTCAAATTAAGCTAAGGCAACATCCTAAGATCTCCTTCCTGAAGCAGGTTTCTCTGAATCTCTTGGGCAGGAAAGGGGGGAGGGTCAAAGTTTCTTTCTGAGTCCTGTTTCTTAAGAAACAGTTTAAAATTACTATCCCAAAAACACAGCTTCAGAGTGGTGAAACTTTGGTTCCTTCAAAAGCTCTCTAGAGAGAGCTCCTTACCTCTTTTCTCTAGGAAGATTTAATGATTGGAATTTCATTGCAGACGCTGAAAAGACTAGCCACCAAGTACAAGGCAGACAGAACCTATCCCACAGCTGTGGCTGAGAGGCCCAAGAATATCAAGAAAAACAGATATAAGGATATCTTGCCCTGTGAGTTTCATTTCTCCCTGTAAACTTACACTTTCTTCCAGATTCAATTATTCCTATGTCTTTTTACCCATTGCTTGCTGTTCTTAGTCCTGGGACATGGCTTTGACAAGTTAGTGTGTCCTATTTATGACTATAAATATGAACATTCACTCACTCACTTTTCAAACCACTGTTCACAGTGCTAGCCCCTGACTTACACGAAACCCTCCGACCAAGCCGCCTTAATCATATACTGTGTCTTTCTTTTGTGTTCAGATGATCATAGCCGAGTAGAGCTGTCCCTAATAACCTCTGACGAGGATTCCAATTACATCAATGCCAACTTCATTAAGGTACACCCTGTATTCCGTATGCTCTAGGTACCTGAAAAGGGGGGCATGCACTAGACAAGAACAAAAGGGTATTTGTGGTAGTCACCCCATATGATTTCTGTTCCCCTTTAGGGAGTTTATGGACCCCACGCTTATATTGCCACCCAGGGACCTTTGCCTACAACTCTCCTGGACTTCTGGAGGATGCTTTGGGAATACGGTGTCCTGGTGAGAACTGAGCTACTTTTATTACTGTCTCCTCTCAATTTTTAGGGTTAGATGGGGTCAGGGCATCGGAATACCTGATTGAGGCTTCCTGGGTGTTAAATTAGTGCTTTGTTTTCGGTTAGTCACTAGAATTTCGGTGTCCCGGTAGGTACCCCTTAGTCAAAATCACAATGTCAGTCTTCAAGGAAATGAAAGTTCTCACCTTGACCGGCTCATTTGTTAATAAGAATTTTACTGATTTGAATAGAGAAAAAGGAAGTGAGGACAGAAAGAAGGAAGGGTGGGAGCAACAGTTTATAATCGATCAAGATTTCTTTTTTGGTTAAAAATAAAACCACCCACAGAAAAGAACAGCGAACACTCTTGCGGTGGGCCCCGTGTGCTATCTGTTCCCTCTGACTTTATCCATGGCTTTGCCTGTGTGTTTCACCCCCCAGATCATTGTCATGGCCTGCATGGAGTTTGAAATGGGGAAGGTGAGTTCTTCCGAATACACCCAAAGGTGAGGGAAAGGCAGGCAGAAAACAAGGCGGGAAATCGGTAGCAGCGCTTTCCTTAGGTAAAATCTGGGCATGCCAAAGGACTCTAAAGGCTTTTTAAAATTGCTTTATCTTTTTACTCCTAAGGACCCCTTTTGTCCGTTTCCCCAGTTGACTCTGTATTTTAAAATAAAAATAAGGTATGCTTTTAAAAGTAACCATTCATCTTCCCATTTTATTAATCAGACATCTTTAACTGCCAGTCAGAGCTTCTAACCCTGTGCTGTCCAACACGGTAGCCACATGTTGCTACTGAGCTCTTGAAATATGGCTAGGGTTTTGTTACTCCGAAGAGACTAGAATAGATGGAGAGAAATCACTATGTTCTGCTTTGTGCGACAGAAAAAGTGTGAGCGCTACTGGGCTGAGCCGGGAGAGATGGCCCTGCACATTGGCCCCTTCTCCATCTCCTGTGTAAGTACGACGCCTATTTCCATGTGGCTGAGCCAGTGTTCCAGGCCCTGCTTTACAGACAGTAGTTTTTGAAGCTTAATCTTTGAAATAACTAATATTTTCATCTACTTCTTAGGAAGCTGAAAATAGAAAATCTGATTACACAATCAGGACTCTAAAAGTCAAGTTCAACAGTGTAAGTATAGAATAAGGCTGTACATTCCAAAGCCTAGAGGGGTCAGGCAGGTAAATATATACCTATGTGGTTTGGGCTGGGAAAAAGACAATGGGGAGTGGTGGGGCCTTTGATGTTCTGGGAAAATCTTCATATTCAAAAGACACCTTTGCTGTAATCTGGGCTCCCCAGTCTATTCCACACCATGGCCACATAGAAAATAAGGGTTGTAGGGTGAATGGAGGCTGTGCAGTGGGTAGATGCTGCGAACCCACCTGAGAGCTCGGGCCGCCCAGTCTCTCTAAGACAAAGGGATTTAATATATCAGCATATCCGTGACCCATCTGAAGTTTCCCAGTTGGGAAGCTCTGGTCTGGACTATCTTCGTATCTACCTCCTCTTTTGAGTGGGGCAGATAGGAACAGGCCAATAGTAAGTGACCTGAAAACACTTAATTATTCTCTGAAGGCATAGGTCACCAGAGGTCCTTGGGGAAGAAAGCAGCAGAAATTACAAAAAGAATATAGATGCTACCTAGAGAGGAGAATAATCTTGTGGTGGAATGAGCTGGAGTCCTAACCTTGAACTCTCCATTTATTCTGGCTTTTTTAAAAAAATAGGAAACTCGGACCATCTACCAGTTTCATTACAAGAACTGGCCAGACCATGATGTGCCTTCATCTATAGACCCGATTCTTGAGCTCATCTGGGATGTGCGTTGTTACCAAGAGGATGACAGTGTCCCCATATGCATTCACTGCAGGTACGATGCTGTTGTGTGACCCTTCCACCCAGAACAACCCAAGTGTCACAGTCTGGCCAGGACGCTTCTTTAACTGAGGGAAGGCCGACTGTTGTAAGTTAAGGTGGTAGAAGCACATAGGACGTAGGCTCCTGGGCCTCACCTCCCTTCCTCCAGGTGGTCAGAAAGGAATGAAGCTTAGAAATGTGAGTGGTAGAAAGAGAAAGGTCACAGCAGAAACAAACTATAATAAATTCAACCCAAGAATTACATGAATATTTTTCTGATAAGCTGCTTGTGACCAGGACAGCTCTGGAGACTCTTGCTATGAGCAGCGTGACATGTGGCAATCTGCAAACGTGTTTCGGCAATGGTAGTGTTTAGAAAGTTTTCTTGCCTCCAGGTTTCCTTTTCTTCAAATCTGCTGGTGAAATTGTCCAGCTACTGTCAGTGAGCCCCTGTCTGCAACTATAAATGCTACGGCTGCGCTCTCTCATTTTAGTGCCGGCTGCGGAAGGACTGGTGTTATCTGTGCTATCGATTACACGTGGATGCTGCTAAAAGACGGGGTGAGTTGCTCTCGGCAGGCGCTTCCCATTTGTTTACCCCGCTACTTTCAGACTGAGAAGTTGTTTGGGTCTCTAAAACACCTACCTCCACAATTTATCTTTTCTAGAATATTGATGCGTAGGCCTACTTTGTCAGATGATTACACTAGTTCCTAAATTGGTGGTTCTCAAAGTGTGGTCCCCAGACAAGTAGCGTTGGCATCAGCGTCACCCGAGAACTTGCTAGAAATGCAAAATTTTAGGCCCCACCTGGGGTGGATTGAAGCAGAAAGCCTGGGGTTGGGGCCCAGCGAGCTCTGCATGTGCTTCTGACGCAGTGGTGTCGTCGGAGGACCAGTGCCCTAAGTTACATCGTCGCCCGTCCTGTGTCCAAACTGCTTTAGTAGATGCACTCAATTTACCACAATCAGACTCTGTGTTTCAATCTACACATCATTTTTAAAAGTCTAATAAGAAGTGGAAATTTAAGATATGGGCTTTAGAACTATCTGCCAACTTTTATCTCATAAAACTCATACTTGCGTCCCTACTGGGTCGTCTTCATTTTATTTTTAACTTCAGACAGTTGATCAGCCCATGTGAAGTCGTTCTGAAGAGTTTCTTCAGGCTTTTCTAGGGAACACAGCAGGCTGGAAATCATGGTGCGATTGATGAGAATCTTCATTGAAAAATACATCTATTTTCTGATATTATCCCATGTCAGGGGAGCAGATATCATGGAAGTAACAAGACTAATAGAAAGAGGCAATCATTTATTAACAAAGATAGAAACAAAGGAGTAAGATGTTTTCTCCTTTTATTTGATAGATAATTCCTGAGAACTTCAGTGTTTTTAGTTTGATCCAGGAAATGCGAACACAGAGGCCTTCACTGGTTCAAACTCAGGTATGGACTGTGGTAAATGGATCATAACATGTGTCTGAGTCTCGCTCCACCTCTCTGTTTAATAGCAAGGCATCCGAAACCAGCTGACTGCTTGGCCGTCACACCAATTTACTGTTAACTGCATTAATCCATTCCCATTTCCTCCAACTCTGAATATACCAATTTTTTTTCAGAATCCCTTGCTCTGGGTTGAACTCCTTTCATCCCTTGTATTTTACTGTCCAGAAAGTATTAAGAAACTAATATAATATTTCTTACAAAGGATGTTACAAAAAACTCAACAAGTTGTTTGACTTCTTAGAAAGAAATAGTTGGGTCAGGTTAACTTGAAACTTTGTAGTAGTGATTTATTTCTGAAACCATAGAAAATCAGAGACATTTTCTACTTTAGCAGGTGGTAACAGAATCTGGAGCGTGCAGTCTGTGCTCATTTTTGGAAGTAATGAAAAATGAAAGTAAAATCAACCATAATCTAGCACCTAGGTAGCCACTGTTACTATTTTTTTATAGTCTCTCCTGGTCTTTATTCTGTGTATAATTAAAAAAACATAATTACAACCACGCTATATATAGGATTATATATGTATCACAATATTCTAACCCACCACAGATTGCTCACACTCACTCGCTCCATTAGTAATGCTCTTCCTCTGTCTTCTCCCCTCCTTTCCAAGTTCAAGTTCTCTCTCCTAGATGAAAGTCCCAGCCCAAATCTCTCACTTTCTACAATATTAATTTCACCCATATTTCCTCACCCATAATTTTACCCATCTTTAAGATATAGTTTATCTTTCACCTATTCATTCATCCATCAAACATTCGCTGATATTAGGTATCAGATGCCTTTGCATAATTTGTTAGAACTGCTTTTTACTGCTTAAATAGCAAGATCCTAACATGTTTAAGGCAAATGAACTGACACATAGGTTTAGAGGTAAAACAATTGACAGTGGCAACTCAGATATTTTCATCTAGAAGCTGCAAATTGAAGGGGAAAAATGAAGAGCTACTATAATATAAACCTTCTGTTTGGCCCACACAGGTTTTCCACTAATAGCTAGTGGAAAAAATCATTTTTTTTTTCATGTGTTGACTGTAGGTGTGTTCTATAGTCAACCTGTGTGGGGGGAAGTTTATGTGAAATGAAAGCATTGGCTAGTTTAGGGCTGTCAGACTTAAAAGAAGGCTCATCCATGTCAATGTATGCAACCAAGTTGTATAATATTAGACTGTAATACTGAATCAGTAAATGAAACCATACTCATTTCAGAAAAAGTCCACTTCAGGCCTGTTTTTAAGAGCTGGAAGACAGCTGAAACAGTTTTAAGTTAAGTTTCGAATTTTGGCATTTTCAGCGACTAATGGAACAAACGTCTTACCAGTTGTAGCTACTTTTTCTGACACTACTTTAACCAGGAAATAGCACAGTAACCAGATGAGTGCTTCCTGTGTGATTTTTCTCTGTTCTTAAGAAATTTAAAGCGTCTACCAGTGGCCCTATTGGTTGGCATAGACTATGCATTATCCTCCTGCTAAAATTATGTTTGGAAAAAGTTGTGCTTTATTTGTATAAGACTGTGTAAAGAGTCAGGGAAAAACCCTGAATGGGCCCATTCAGATGAAAAGTAGATACAAAATCAAGTATTTGAGCAAGTATAGAGACAAAAACGGAGTAGTAGAAACCCAGACACACTGTCATTGTAGAGGACTCATTTCTCTATAGTGAAATCATTTTAAAACCGTAACTTTCCTCAGCGGTCTACTTTTCTTTGATATCTTTGCTAGGACAGAATTTCAGCAGCTTGATGCAAGAGTCAGAAGATTCAGGTTGTAACCCAAGTCCTGGAAATTACTCATGAATGACCTTGAACAAATAGTGTATAAACAGGAATAATAAATAGCCTAGCTTGTTTATAGGTCAATTATAAGGATCTAGTTAAATAATACATATTAAAACCATCGATCTACCCATCAACCACAATCTATTTGCTTTTTTCCAGAAAAGGTAAAGGTGGCTTACACTCAAAAAATGCATGCAATATGCAATAACATCTTTAACTTCTGAGAAAGAAAAACAGAAATAGAGGGATGGTGATGGAGGGAAAGACAAGTAAGAAAGTGGGGTTAGAACGAAAAAACACGCTGCAGGTTCCTTCTTTGTATGTTGGTTAGAGGTAGATCAAAGATTTAGCTGTTTCTCGCAGCCTAAAAGTGCTTTGACATCTGAAATGGGCTGTGCAAACGTAAGGCACTGCCGTTAAACGAACGCAGACGGTCTTTTCAGGTTTGCTGTCCTAGCATTTGACTGGTGTTCATGTGTCTGAAATCTGGTTCTGTAGTTCACCAGGTTTTCTGTTTCTTTTCCTTTGTTCGGGTCGCGATGCCCCCCAGGAACAGTATGAACTGGTCTACAAAGCCGTCACAGAACTATTTAAGAGACAGATGGATGTGATCGGAGATGGACACTCGGGAACAGAGGTAAACTTGAAACTTGATGTTTTGTCCATTAAAAAAAATATTTGACTTGGTGAAGGGATCTTAGCTTAGTTGCAGGACTTAGCTTGTTATTTACTGTCATAGCTAAACTGGAGCGTCCAATGTGCATGAGCTGCACTGTAAATCTCCTGTAAAGGACAAATGATTGAAGTACTTTAACTTAGAAAAGGCATCTTTTGGTTAACCTCCAGCGTACAGTTTTTAGCTAAATTTAGAAACAATAGGTGTGAAAGAACAAGCATGTGTTCTGTTCCCACAGTATTCTGTTTTACACAGTTGTGTGGTGAGTTAGAAATGATACTGATGGTTACAACGGGAAACCAGAATTGAGCACTGATGTAACTTTTCAGGTTACTCTAGCCTCGTCTTGATTGCATATGTCCCATCAAATTTTGAGAATATTTTAGAATAGCCAAAGGATTTTTAGCTGAAGGCCTTAGGTATAAAAGCAATTTCTGATTTGACCAATTTCCAGCTTAAAAATACTGAGTATTCTAGGATATGCTATTTTGGTCTTACCATAAAAATGGATAAGTCAAATACTTACTGTGTAATCACAAATTATTGGGTTCTAACAAACCTTAAGAAGACAAAATTGCTGACTTAGCTTTCAGGGTGTATGTAACATATACATGTTAATTTAATTTTTAATATTACATTTTGGATTGTTGATCTGAAAATGTTCACTGAGGACCTACTGTTTTCATAGCAATTAAGAATACAAAGTATATAAGAGATGACCCTGATTGTAATTTTATTAGTTGATGATGAAATGTGGGAAGGGAAAGATAACCAAAAAACCTGTTGAGGCTAGGGAATGAACTTTGCAATCCTAATGTCGACTCCAAGGAGAAACAACATGGTGAAAGATGTTGGAAATAAAAGTGTAATTGCCAGAAAATGTTACTTATATCTTATTTGTGACTATTTCATTGGCTAGTACTCCCTGAACAAGGCTAAATAGCAGAGGCAATATGGGTGACTTATTTTAATGGGAAAGATTCTCATGTTTCACTACTAACTATGATGCTGACTTGATTGGAAATATTTTAATTGTTTAAAGAAAATATTCATTGATTTCTATTTTGTTAAGAATCTTTTTCAGAAAGAATGTTAAATTCAGTCAATTGCATATTTTTGCATTTGTGGAATGACCACATGGATTTTCTCCTTTGACCTATTAATATATCATTGGATCTGTTAGAATCAAACCATCCTTGTACTCTTAGGAAAACAAACCTTCTTGAACAAAAAATATTTTTTAATGTGTTGCTAGAGCACGTGGGTTAATATTTTATTTAGACTTCAGGAAATGTAAATGCTCAGTTTGGGCCAGCAGCAGTGCTCTGGCTCCCACCTGTTGGGCTGTTTGGCATGGGTCCCTAGTCAGTAAGTCAGAACGCAGGAACATGAGTCAAGTTCCTACTGGGGGAACTGGCTAAAGGTAGCCAAAGAGAACTTCTGTTTACGGGAAGATTGAGTAGACGGACTTTTCCCTATTCCTCCCACTAAGTGCAACCAAATAGCCCTGGACATTACATATAAAACAAATAGAAGAAGACAGGCCAGCTAGGGACTTGCAACCCAAGAAAAGATATGATGGTGAGTTCCTTGGGTTTTTCCTTTGCCTCATATGTTCCAGGCTTGGAACTGAAGAAGCCAACAACCTGCAAATGCCAACAGTGCAGACAAAAGAAGGCCCACCAAGAGTCTGCTCTCTCTAACCAAGGGACAAGAAAGGGGCAGCCTGGCAAGACATAAAACTTTTAGATAATAATCACTCTACTCCAGTCAACACCAAATAAAAAAAATGGCCCCCAACCCCATCCATGTCAGCAAAGGCTGAGTGGGGAGTCTGGATTCCCACAAGACCATAATAAAGAGCTGGGGTGGCATCAGAAAGTCCAAGTAGAGAGCTAGGACTTTCATCCCCACTTTCCCTGCAGTGCCAGTGGAGAGCACATGGCGAGCCTGAGCAGTAACGTGGCACCCCAATGCCCCCTACTGAGGTAGGGTCAGAAGAGACCTAATAAACAGTCAGAATTTTTACCGTCATTCAACAGTAATGAGGCCAGCCTCACCACAGTGTCAGAGATGACATGAGAGCCTCCCCCCTGGTGTCTCCCCTTGCGTTTCAACAGAGGTTAAATGAGGAGAATGGTGGAGGTAGAATCCACCTGATAGTAACAAGGCAGCAGCATCCCGTTCTCCTGTCAGAATGGAGTAAAAAACAAACAAAAGAGCAGCTACAAGAGAAGGTTAAACTAAGATCCAGAGCTTCATATCTCAAACCAAATGAATAAAATAATCAACAGATGGCAACACGGAGATGACAGAGATGTTAGAATTATCTGACAAAGATTTTAAAGCAGCCTTGATAACAATGCTTCAATGAGCAATTACAAACATGCTTAAAACAAATGATGAAAATCAAAACCAAAACCAGAAAACAAATGAATAAACAGAAAGGCCTCAGCAAAGAAATATAAAGACTGGGCAAAACACACACACACACAAAACAGGAAATAACTGATATTTCACAGCTGAAAAATACAGTAACTGAAACAAAATAGCTTAGTAGATAGGCTCAACAGCAGAATACAAGGTACAGAAGAAAGAATATAAGAACCTGAAGACAGAGCAATAGAAATTGCCCAATCTGAACAACAGAAATAAAATAGACTGAAAAAATAAAAGAATCTTAGGGAACTAAGGGACTGTAACATAAAACCTAGCATTGTGTCATTGAAGTCCAAGAAGCAGGGGAGAAAAAAGGCAAGTTTAAAAAATACTGAAAGACTCATCATAATTAAACCTCTGAACCTAAAGACAAAGATTATAAAAAGCAGCCAGAGAAAAATGATTTTAACTGTAGGAGGAAAACAATCAGAATGACAATGGATTTGTCATCAGAAACCATGGAGGTCAGTAGGAAGTGGCACAACAGTTTTCAAGTGCTGAAAGAAAAGAACTACTAACTCAGAATCCTACACCCAGTGAAAATATCCTTCAGGAATGAAGGGGGAATCGACACATTCTTAGATGAAGAAAAACTAAAAGAGTTTGTTACCAGTACACTGACCCTAAACAAATAGCAAAGGAAGTTTCATAAACAGAAAGGAAATTATGAAAGAAGGAAGAACATGGCAAGCAAAAACATGAGTAAACCGGAATCGGTTTTCCTTCTCTTAAGTTTTCTAAACTGTTTGATGTTTGAAGCAAAAATTATAATACTGTCTGATGTGGTTTTAAATGTATTAGAGGAAATATTAAAGACAATTACATTATAAGCAGGGAAGAGATGGGAATGTCAAGGGAGGTAAGGTTTCTGTGCATGAACTAGCAAAATGATAACACCTGTAGACTGTGATAAGTTATATATATATATATATATATATATATAATGTATATACCAAGAGCTACAACTACAAAAGCTACACAAAGACATACCTTTGAAAAACTATACATCAATAAAAATAAAATTCTAAAAAATGCAAGAAAGAGAAAAAAAGCAGGAAAAAGAAAAGAGAAATGCAAAATGGAGACAAAAAACAGAAAACAAAAAATAAAATGGCAGATTTAAGCCCTAACATTAATAATAACACTAAATGTAAATGGTATAAATACACCAATTAACAGACAGATTGGCAAAGTGTATTGAAAACATGACCCAACTATATGCTATCTGTAAAACAACACACTTCAAATATATAGGTTGGTTTAAAGGGATGGAAAAAAGATATATCATGTAAAAATGAATAAAAGAGAGGCAAGGGTAGCTATACAAAGTGGAGCAAAAATAGGTTCACAGCTGTGAGTATGTGAAACACAGAGTTTATTCTTGTATTATTATTTATTTATTATTATTTTCCACATGAACAACTATGAACCTACTTTTGCTCCACCCTGTATTAATATCAGATAAAATAGAGCAAATAAAGTTATCACAGACAGGGAGGGACATTTTATAATAATAAAAGGGTTAATCCACCAATAAGACATATCAATCCTAAGTGCATATGGACCAAACAGAGCTGTAAGATGTGTGAAGCAAAAACGGATAGAAATGAAAGGAGAAACAGACAAATCCACAGTTTTAGTTGGAGATCTCAATATCCCTTTCTCAGCTACTGATAGAAGAACGCGACAGAAAATCAGCAAGAATATGGAACTCAACAAGATCAAATTGATATTTATAGAACACTCCACCCAATAACACATGAATACACATTCTTTTCAAGTGCTGATGGAACGTATAGCAAGATGAACCATATTACGGGCCATCAAACAATCTGAATATTTTAAAATAATTGAAACCACATAAAATGTATTCTCTGATGATAATGAAATCAAACTAGAAGCCAAAAACAGGAACAGATCCAAATTCTTGGAAACTAACCACACTCAAGGTAATCCACTGAGTCAAAGAGGGCGTATCAAGGAAAATGCATTGAGCAGAATAAAAATGAAAATATATGTGAAAATTTGTGGGCCAGAGCTATAGCAGTGCCAACAGGGAAGTTTACAGCACTCTAAATGCGTACATTACAAAACAGTCAGTCTCCAATCAATCATGTGAGCTCCCACTTTGAGGATCTAGAAAAACAAAAAGAGCAAAAAAACAGACAGACAAACAACAACAAAAAACCCCAAAGGAAACGGAAGGAAATAATAAAGAGCAGAAATCAATGACAATAGAGAAAAATCAGCGAACCAAAGAGCTGATTCTTTGAAAAGATCAATACAATTTACAAACCTCTAGGAAGACTAATAAACTAAAAAAAGAGCAAAAGATAAAAATTACCAATATTAGAAATGAAACAGGGGATATCTCTACAGGCTCTGCAGATATTGAAAGAATAATTAATAAAGGAATATAGTATAAACAGCTCAACACATATAAATGTCACCACTTAGACAAAATGGATTACTTCCTCAAAAAACACAAACTCCCACCACTCACTCAACATGAAATCGGTTATTTGAATAGCCCCATAACTGAATTTGTAACTTGAAAACTCCCTCAAAAGAAATCTTCAAGTCCACATAATTTCACTTGAAAATTCTACCAAATGAGGAATTAACACTAATTTTATTCAATATGTACCAGAAAACAGAAGAGGAAGAGATACTTCCTCATTCATATTTTACCATTTTAAAGATTATAATGTAGTGTCATTAAATATCTTTACAATGTGTATGACAATCACTGTTTATTTCTAGAAATTTGTTATCATCAGAAACAGAATTTGTCCATACCCCCTTTTGCATTTTGCTGATTAGTGAAGTTTAGAATATGTTCATGTGCTCATTGACCGTTTGTATTTAATCTTTTTTTTTTTTTTAAATATATCTTTATTGATTTCAGGGAGAGAAAAGGGAGTGGGAGAGAGAGAGAGAAACATCAATGATGAGAGAGTCATTGACCGGCTGCCTCCTGCACGCCCCCAACTGGGGATCGAGCCCGCAACCTGGGCATGTGCCCTGACCAGGAGCCGAACCCCAATCTCCTGGATCCTAGGTTGATGCTCAATTGCTGAGCCACGCCTGGTTAGGCTGTGTTTAATCTTTGGAAAAATGTCTATTCAAGTCTTTTGGCCATTTTTGAATTTTTTTTGTTTGCTTATTGTTGAGTTTTAAGAGTTCTCTATATATTCTGGATTGTAATCCCTTATCAGATATGTGATTTGCAAATATTGTCTCCCATTCCAGGAGCTGCCCTTTTACTCTGTTGATTGTGTCCTTTAATTCACAAAAGTTTTTGATTTTCCTAAAATTAAATTTGTTTATGTTTCTTTTGTTGCTAGTGCCTTTGGTGTCATATCCAAGAAATTATTGCTAAATCCAACGTCATGAAACTTTTTCTCTTCTCTTAAGAAAAGAGTTTTACAGTTTTAACTCTCATGTTTAGGTATTCAATCCATTATGAGTTAATTTTTGTATATGGTATAAGATAAGGGTCCAACTTCACTCTTTTGCATGTGCATATCCAGTTTTCACAGTATCATTTTTGGAAATACTGTCTTTTCTCCACTGAATGGCCTTGGCACCCTCAACAAAAGTCAGATGCCCATATATGTAAGTTTACTGCTAGGCTATTTATTCCACTGGTCTATGTAGTTGTCCGATGCCTGTAATGCACTGTTTTATTACTGTAGGTTTGTAGCACATTTTGAAAGAAGGAAGTGTGAGTCCTCCAACTCTGCTCGTCTTTTTCAAGATTGCTTTTGCTATTCCAGGGTCCCTTGAGATTCCATATGAATTTTAGGACAAGTTTTTCTACTACAAAAGCACCATTGGGATTTTGAGAGGGATTGCATTGAATTTGATAACTTTGGGTAACATTGTTATGGTAACAATATTATGTCTTCCACTCCATGAACATAGAATGTCTTCCCATTTACTTACGTCTTATTTCATTTCTATCAGCAATGTTTTATAATTTTCAGTATACAGGTCTTTCACCTCCTTGGTTTAATTTATTTCTAAGTAGTTTTTTTGATGCTAATATAAATAGAATTTTTAAAAAAATTTTCTTTTCAGATCGTTTTTGCTAGTGTATAGAAATACAACTGGTTTTGTGTGTTGATTTTGTATTTGTTGACTTTGCTGAATTTTAGTAATGTCCCCACTTTTACTTCTATAATTTGAGATTTTTAAAATTCACGCCTTCTTTTTTCCTTAGTAAATCTAGCTAAAGGTTTGTCAATTTTATTGATCTTTTCAAAGGATCAACTTTTGATTTTGTTAATTTTCTCCACTGTTTTCTTAGTCTCTGTTTCATTCATTCTGCTCTAAGCTTTAATATTTCCTTCTTTCTGTTAGCTTTGGGTTTAGTTTGCTCTTTTTCTAGTTCCTTAAGTTGTAAAGTTATTGACTTGAAATCTTTCTTCTTTTTTAATGTAGCCATTTACAGCTATAAATTTCTCTCTGAGCACTGCTTTCACTGTATCCCATCCATTTTATGTTGTGTTTTCATTCCTTTCTAAGTATTTTCTAATTTTTGTTTTGATTTCTTCTCTGACCCTTTGGTTGGTTGAGTGTTTTACGTATATTTGTGAATTTTCAAGTTTTCTTTGTTATTATTTTCTAGTGTCAATTCATTATGATTTGAAAACATACTTTGTATGACTTCGATCTTCTAAAATTCATGAAGACTTGTTTTGTGGCCTAACACATGGCTGGTCTCTCCTGGAGAATGTTCCATCTGTCTTTGAGAAGAATGTATATGTTGTTGGGTTGATCGCTCTATATGTGTCTGTTAGGTCTAGTTGGTTCATGGTGTTGCTCATGTCTGCTCTCTACTTCCTTATTGACCTTCTGTTTCATTGTTCTACCCATTATTGAAAGCAGAGTAGTAAAGTTTCTGACTCAGTTTACCAGGCCTGCTGTAACAAGTACCACTGCCCGAGGAGGGCTCAAACAACACATTAGTTTTCTCAGTTCTGGAGGCAGAAAGTCCAAAATCAAGGTGTCAGTGGGGCCATGCTCTTTCTCAGAGCTCTAGGGGAAAAAATCTTCCTTTGTTTCTTCCCAGTTTCTGGAGTTTGCCACAGATGCTTGGCGTTCACTGGCTCGCAGATACATTACTACAATTCCTGTCTCCACCATCACATGGCGTCTCCTCATGTGTCTCTGAGTGTCTGCTTTCTCTTCTTATAAGGACACAAGTCATTGTGTTACGGTCCACCCTAATCCAGCATGACCTCATCTTAACTAATTTTATCTGCAAAGACCCTACTTCCAACTAAAGTCGGTTAAAGATATCAGGGGTTAGATTTTAACATACCTTTTTGAGAGTCACGACTAAACCCGTAACAGGTGGAATCTTATAATTACTGATAACCTTTTTTTTTTTTTTTACATTTAAACATGTCTGAAATAAAGATATATTTTACAATCAATGGTATCTTTGATTCCATGAGCCTCAGTGACAAATTTCAAAATGTGACCGTTGCTATGAAGAAAATATAGATTGAGAGTGGCTGGGAGAGTGTGTGGGAGTGTGATTTTTAGGTTGAGTGGTCAGGGAAGGTTTCCTTATGCAGATGACATTTAAGCAGAAAATAGTTACTTAGAAGGAACCAGCCATGCAAAATCTGGAGCAAGAGTATTTCAACCAGCGTGAACAGTGAGTGTAAAAGCCTTGAACTGGAAACAAGTTTCCTATGCTTAAGGAATGGAAAGAACACGGGGTAGCTGGGGCCTAGAAAGGAAGCAGCTAGACCAGGATGAGGCAGCTACGGGGTCCCAATAAGCATCTGTTAACATTAAGGGTTGAGCGAATGAATTTCTGAAGGCAGAGAGTTCTTAGGAATAGAGCTACCCCCAAGGACGTTGTAAAACTCCCACAAGTTAAAAGGTGATGCTCCAAGTAGATCCTTTTTGGTTTTTATAACACTCCTAATCCTTTATTCTGATCCTTATGACCTCGGTCTGTGAACGTGTTCTTGTTGGGCTCAATATTTTGGAAACTATTTTGGAAATCATTTTAGGAATGATTTTAAACCTTTACATTTCCTGGAAAAGAACTTCTCAGCTCTACGAATAGAAAATCTCTCGCTGTCATTGCTTCACTAAAAAACAATTTCTTATTTCTCTTGAAGATTCAAGTGAAGTACTCAGTTCCTGAGCAAAATCCCAGTCCAGAAGTTTGTTCTCCCAATTTACCAAAAAGGTGAGTGTAATTTTACACCTCTAAATGTTGTCTAATTGTGTCTCGGAGGCATATCTTGTGCTTATAGCTCATCGCGATGCTGGGGAAAAGCTATGGAACAGGCTTTTGCAGTCACGATCCCATTATTACTTTCTTTCTGTTTCAGCAGCATAACAGGAGCAAAAATGATGAGCCCACAGGGCAGACAGAGGACAGGGGTGGAAAGCGCTGATGCTTCCCCCTTTGACCCGAGGACTTGTGAGCGAAGGGAAAAGGGAGGGTTAGCTTTGCACCCTGCTCACCACAACAGCTCCTTTGAGTTCTTGGAGCTCAACTGCGGTTGTAACAACAGCGCTGACACAGCAGAGAAATGGGAGACCAAGGCCCTTCCCATAGCCGGGGAGCCTCTCCAGAAGCATCAGAGCCTGAGCTCGGTCCTCTTTGGAGCAGGCCCCGATTCTAAACCTGCAAATGCCACAGGAAGGTACTTCAACGCCAGGGGGCCCATAACACGGACCAAATCCACCCCGTTTGAACTGATACAACAGAGGGACCCCACCGAGCTGGACATCAGGGACAGTTTGTGTTATTTGGACCCTCGGCCGAGCAGTCCTGGTCTCGGGCAGGCTGGGAAAGCGAGGCAGGTCGCCTCGGCCGAGCTGAACGATGCGCTGGCCCAGGGCTCCAGGCACCGCGTGTGGAGCGCGGCCAATGCTGAGCAGCAGGCCCCGGGCGCTGGCACTGTGCGCCCCTGCGTGCCCTCGGTGCCAGGCCCTGGCTTCCCGCCGCTGTCTCCCCGAGGGGCTGGCTCTGAGATGTCTGTGGATTTACCTGGGAAGCAGCAGAGAGCAGTGCTACCTTGCTCTTCGATGCCAGCATCCTCTGCGCCCCTATTTGCTTGTTATGACTCACACAATTCTTTAGCTCTGAACCCTCCAGCCAGCTTCGCCCCCGCACTGCTCCAGGACATAGCCCACGTCGGTAAGTCATTCTTAAAAGTTTACATGGCCTTTTAGATTTCACTTGGTTGCTACAGAAGACTTGGTTTCGTCTCCTGCCCCTCACAAATAGATTCCAGCAGTGTTTTAATGATAAGTTGAAACCAGCAAAAGCAAACCCTTAACATTTCATGGTCTGTGTGATCCATGGCCCATCATCTGCGCCGACAGGAGTGCTTTTAAAGAAGGCAGTTCTCAGTCCTGGAAATGTCTATCAGAGGTCCACAACTCACCCTCGGCATACAGAAGCAACTTCCAAATGAACGTAAGAGAAGATCTGATCGAGGGCGCCGCGTGGTTGCTCAGAATTTTTACTGTACACCATGTGGCTACACCGAGTTAACAGATAGCTAACAATTGTAATCTGTTTTTTAAAAATGTGGGTTTTTTTTTCTTTTTAATTGATTTTATTAGAGATTGGAAGGGAGAGGGAGAGAGGGAGAGAAACATTGATGAGAAAGAATCCCCTATCGGCTGCCTCCTGTATGCCCCCTACTGGGGATCGAACCCGAAACTGGGGCATGTGCCCTGACTGGGAATCGAACCGGTGATCTCTGTGGCCAGGCTAAGAATTGTATTCCCTTGCTGAGGCAATTGGAACAGGAGGACCTGATTTCCTCCTGCCCTTTCGTAATAACTTAGTAGATGCGAATATGTGTTTTATATTCTGTGTGGGATTTTCATCATATATGCACCTTTACTTTCAAACTCTATTTTATACTTCTAGATTTTTGCATATTACGCATATTGTTTTACTGACTGTTTTGGTATTAAAAGTAAATATCCTGTTAGAGATGATTATGATAGTTTGATCTGGGAGAAGGAAAGCAAAGAGTAAATTTAACTCTCTCAGGTATATCATCAGAAATTTAGAAAGAATGTTCCACCTGATCAGGAAGTAGAAAGAATTTTTCCTCTGTAACATTACTGTACAGTTTCTTAAAAAGATATGCAGATGTGTAGCTTTGTTACAAAAATACTTTATCTGGATCTAATTCCTTCTTTGATTTTATTATTTTATATACTTAGATCTTGTTTTATAATTTAAAGGGATTTTTCTAGATGCCTATAATACCTTAAAATTCTCTGAGCATCAACATTAAAAGACAAATCGTTATCTTCAGGGATTGTAGCAACACTGACATGTGTGCCATCTGGTGGCAGTTTCTTATAATAGCATCATTTTTTTTTCTATAAAAATTTTGGCTATTTCTATAGAAATATAGAAAACCCTGTTCCAACATTGTTTTTTAAAAAACTAAAAGCATACCTAATTCTTCATCATTGTGGAATAAATAAGAGATACTGAAATCTTTATGATTTTACCTAGTCTGGAACTGAATCTCTGGCACGTCAAAGTGCTTTTATTATGTTATACTGTATATTCTACGTAAAACAAAAGGAGAGAGTTATGGAATTTAAATTAACATAATATTATACGTTATGTTAACTAATTCTCAGTGACTCACTCAAAATACTTTTGGGCTTTTAAAAGAAATAATACATTTTAAAGAAGCAAAAGCCTCCTGGGTTTGCAATTTAAGATGAGAGAATTTTGCTTTTAACTTGAGTGAACAGATACCAGCTTAAATATTGCAATGCCGCTTGATGGGATTTCCATCAAGATTAACATGTAAGAATCTTTTTTGCATTTTCCTAATTAAAACTTGTAATTCTATTTCTGACATTTTGGAGAGCAGCTTCTCCAAGAACAGACGATGAGATGCCCCCTCCGCTTCCTGAACGGACACCTGAGTCTTTTATTGTGGTCGAGGCGGCTGGTGAGTCAGCGAGTGGGACAGAGTGGGGACTAACTCGGTTATCCTCCAGTCCTTTCAGTGATCTGCCTGCTGTCGCTCCAGGCCTCGTTCAGATAATTTTCTGTTTGGTTGTTGTGGGTTAATATTGAAAAACTGGAAAAGTTATGCAAAACCAAAGAGGGCGTCTCGACTTAAGACTTTTAAGTGATGGGTGTTTTTGCTTGTCCTGCACTCTTGTCACCACAGATCTGCATGAAGGTCGCTCCTCGCCCTCGCCCCCGCCCCCGCTCCCAGAGAGGACCCGGGAGTCCTTCCTCCTGGCTGATGAAGACTGTAAGTGGCAGCGCTGTCTCTCCAAAAAGTTACCAAAGCAAGAATGTTAAAAGGTTAACGATAGAGTAGTGCCTACATGGAAGAGGTACAAGGGACGATCGAATTAGATAAAAAGAATACATTAAGAAATCCCATAATGTATTGTAAAAACAATGCATAAAAAAGCCAAGCCAAGAATTACCGAATATAGGCCTACATAAACCCTGAAAGCTTAGAAGCTATGCAACAAATTTTTTTTTTTTTTGTAGGTACGCAGGCCCAACCCATAGAGACGTATTCTACTAGCTGTCCTAACACCATGGAAAATTCAGTGTCTTCAAAACAGACACCGAAGACTACTGGAAAATGTTTCACAAGGAGTAAGGTAAAAACGGCAGGAGTTTATGGAAATACCCCAGAAGCTTTCATTACCAAAGTGTCTCCCACCAGTTCACCCTCCCCCGCCAGCTGCCAGCATTAAGATGAAAATTAGATTAAATATCGTTAAAACTGTTGGTCTCACGATAATCAAAATTAATAGAACAAAACAACAACAAAAACCCAAAAAAACCCCACCACAAACAACTTAATTTGAAGCACACCCAATGAAACCTTTTTTATTTTTTGGACTGGGACAAACTGATTCCAATATTCTGATTGCACTATTTCTAAACACAGAGTGTGACGCTCACAGGGGTGGGCAAGAGAGCAAAATAAAATCAAGCGGAGACTTTGTACCGAATTAAAAACGGCAAGATGGAGAAACAGTTTTGTCCGTTTTGGTGGCTAATGTTTGAGGAAATTAATCCTTTTGACTGGAGTCTGTATTTCTACTTGATTAAAGTATTTTGGATTTCACACGCACACACAAATAACCTTTTCCCTCTCTTCATTTTTGCAGAGCTTGAAAATTTTGCGGAACATGAAAAAGAGTAAGCTTCGTTATACTTATTTTTTAGAATATATATACTGCTTTCGTGGTTATTTAACTCTTTCTTATAGAACCGCTCTGTGAGGAAGTCAGTATTATTTCTAAACAGAGGCTCACTAGGGTCCTATGGATCGATCACCCCCAAACCGTGTCCTGGGCTGGGCTCCACAGTGACGAGTTTTGAGTTGGGAGAGGCGGGCCTCTGGCTGACTCTGGCATAACAGTGACATTTGGCACTGTCTGCTCATCCCAAGACGCTGCCACCCAAGTGTGTGATTTAAAATTCCCAGCAGCCTAACCTCACATGTATTCTCTTTGAAAACAGCCACAGCGAGGCATATTGTGAAACAAATGTGTTGATTTAATGAAACAGCAAGGCATCGACTCGTTCCTCTTTCCCCCGAGTATTATTAGCGATCGTGAGTCTGTTGCTTGCTGTTTTTGCTACAGTGCAATGAAAACAAAACCCAAAGGCTCCCGAAACCGTGGGAACTTGAGTGTCTTAGAAATCCTTATTTGTAACCACGAAGTATATAAAGCATGGTGATGGCAGTTTTTACGAATTTGATGCATTTGGTTAATTATCAGAGACCAGACAGCTACTTGGTGTCCTGGGAGGGACCGAGGACACCGAGGAGGCTTGATGGGAGGTATTGTCCAAGTGAGAGGCTGGAGCTGAATCTTACGCTTTTCTTCCGAGTTTTCACGCTGTCTTTCTGTCCGCGAACTCGTGCGGGTCTGTCCTCACCGCCACCACGCTTGATCTCCGAAATGGACTCGTTCCTCACCTGTGGTGACTGAAGGACGATGGAAAAGTCTGATGGCTACAGCCAGGCAAAAGAGAATTTAAGCTTTTCAGGAGGAAAGTATAGTATAAAACGGGAATTAAACAGCTGAAAGCAAAGAAATGAGTGACTTGAATAACCAAAGGCTGATTTGATCAGCCTCGTTTACGAAGCACTCGGGTTTCTTTTTCTAAAAAAACAAACCAACCAACCACCGAAACCCCAAAACTCTCTCTCTAGGTATTCTTGTCTTGGGGATATCAAACAAGTGACAGAAACTCGAGGTAGACGTAGGTTGGCACAGATCGGAGATGTGGGACTCTCTGAGACCGAGGCTTGTATCTGAGGGCTCCCAAGTCATTCTCCAGGCCGAGGCTCATTTCCATTCCTCAGCTACCCTCATCGTCTGGTCTTTTGTCCTTAAATGAGGAACAATATCTGTCTCCCAACCTGATCCTGAAGCGTTAGACTCATCTGCATTTGCACCTATGTTCTTCCCCCTTCCAGATGCTCATGGCTGCTCCTGAATTCTGTATGTTCTCCCTTTAGCCCGGGCCTCTTGCTGGTTGGTAGTTAAAGCTGATCCCGAATCAATTGCTGCCACTATAGTCAGTGCTCTGGTTAAGCAGGACAGGGTCATCCCATCCCTAATATTTAACCGTTGTTACACGTGGACACCGACCAACGAGGAGTGGGGTCGAAACTAAACAACTGGTGTGACCGTGGCAAAGTACCACCTGAAATGCAGCCCTTGTCATAGGTCAGTTTTTTGGCCAAAGGGTAGACTCAGCTCCCCCAGAAGTGTGGAAGCTGAAAACTGGGCAGCGGTGATTTCTTAAAGAAAAATTTAAGTCCTATGATCAGAAGTAGAAGGAATTAATGCTGGGCAGGTGGCATAAAAATATCTATGACAAGCCAATATGCAAAACAGCGGTGCCCTCTGATAGGTACGCAGAGTCTCGTCTCCTGTTGTAAAAAGCCGGTAATTTTTGGAACAGTTGTTTTCTTTCCAAGGGATGTGTATACCTCTCAGCTCATTTCAGTAGATTGGTATCTCCCGAACTTTCTCACCTGTACCCACTTCTTATTCATGTCTCTATGGTCAGTGCCTAGCCCAATACCTGGCATATAGTATTTTAATAAATATACATATTTTAATTGAGTTTGATTGAAATTCAGTATGTACTTTAGTGATTCACACTCAGGTACCTCCAGGAATGGGGAGCTGTTTCCAGAATCCTAGTAATTGGGCAGAAACTGATACATGAGTATTAAGGTGCTGGGAAGAGAAATACTATATGTTCCAAGCCTACCTATAAGTAGCTAAAATAGCAAAACAAAGAAACATAATGCTTTTGGGAGATTCCAGGCCTAACCAGAATCATCTATAATGGAGAAAAAGTAGACAGGAAAGTGAAGAAAAATATTCCAGGAGTAGAAGATAGTGTAAGAAAATCGCAGACTTTGCCACAGGTGAACTAATGTGGAAAACAAATGATTGAAAAGTATACTTTGAGTAGAGAGATTGATGGTGATGGAAGGAGATTTGACTTGGGATGGTGAGACACAGTACAATATACAGATGACGTACTATAGAACTGTACACCTGAAACTTCCTTAACCAATGCCACGCCAATAAATTCAATAAAAAATTCACATAAAAATGAGATTATAGTGTCACCGTTTGTAAGCATCTGTATTTTGTTACATTTGATGGTGCTATGTTTATCCTGGAGTATTACTTCCCTTGGAGGAAGTGTTTGCCCTCACCAATGACGTGGTCTGATCAAGTTACCTCGGGTTGTCTCCATCTCCCTCACAGTTTTTCTTTTCATTCTAGGCCTCTGTAACTCCCCAGCACCACACAAGCCTGCGGACTCTGTTCAGCCAACTAACTCCAGCTCCCTACTGAATTTTGGTATGTGGGTTATTTTCAAGCACAGAATAAATGTTTACCTAAATTATCCTCTTTTAGTATAAGAGATACAACTCCAAATAGGATTTGAGGCTGCATGTATATATCCTTATATTTATATTCTTTGCCATGCAATTTATCTTTTTATTTTTTACCTTCAGCTACCACTTAACATCTTACATAGGACTGTGTATTCTATTACACAGAATTGCCTGGCATAGGCAGAAAATAAAGCTAGGTAACCAGGTTTCTTTATCTAATTATTACCATTATTAAATGTGTAAGTGTTCTACACATTTAAAATGTTATTAGTATTCTATTGTTATCATTTAAACATTAACTTAATTACTGTAATACCTTCACAATCTGTTACTAAATTGATCAAAGATGCTGCTTAACCTTTTGGGGGAAAAAAATCCATGTATTTGCATATATTATAGTACACTCTAAGATCCATGTATTCATTTTTATATTAAAAAAATCTGTTTTTCAATTTTATTTTAAAAATGTGTTTTTTCAAAAATAGTTGATATACAGTATTATATTAGTTTCAGGTGTACAACATAGTGATTAGACAGTTACATAACTTACAAAGCGATCACTTGGATAAGTCCCATGTGACACCACACGTAGTTGTTACAATGTTATTGACTATATTCCCTATGCTGTACTCTGTATCCCCACGACTGTTTTTACTACAGGCAGTGTGTACATCTTAATCCATTGTCCCTTTTCACCCTCAGCTTTATTTTTTTGTTCCCAGGTTTTGCAAATCGTTTTTCAAAACCCAAAGGACCAAGGAAACCACCGTCAAGTTGGAATATTTAACAGAACCTTGGACTACAGGCTGCAGGTGCACCTGCAAAGAACTTCCAGGACATGGCGAGCTAAAACAAGTGTTCTCTATTCATAACGTCAACAGTGCAGCTGTGGTAACGTGGCAATAGCTTTTATAAAGGAAAAGCAATACGCAAATGGTGCCAGAAGTTTTACACTTACTCTCATTCACACGGGTTCGGAAACAACAGAAAAAAGCTTGTCTCTTCAGGGTATGTGGAGAATGCTGTCAGAGAAAGTTTGGGAATGGACTTTTCATTTTTGGAAGTTATTTTTGACTTGACTTTACTTTTCTATATAAACTTCAAAAGATTTGTTAGAAATAGATCTTGATTAAATGTCTACATTGCCAGAATTTACTGTAAGAAGCGTTTTTGTTTTTTAAATCTTATCTTGTGGCTGCAATACAAAATTACTGCTTGTGACAGTGATTTTGCCTGGGGAGTTATTTTTGCCTAAATGGAGTATACCTTGAACATCTCCCCAAATGTTGTGGGAAACAAGAAGTTATATTTAAGAGAATAAAATATGTACACAATGACTGTAATCTTATTTATATATATATCAACTAACAAGATGTTCAGTTACATTCCTGCTAAGTTTTAACCAAAGTTACTCAATTGCCCAGTCTACAAGAACGACCAACAAAAATAGCTACTTTTGGTAGCCTTTTCATTTCGAAGGTTCTGCGTAAACACGTGCCACTTACGTCCAACCCACCGGAGGCGTTACTAGTTAAAAAACTTTTTTCTACATGAATGTGGATCTGACACATTTTAAGAATACCTGATCTTTCAAATCTAGTTTTACCTAACAAATAAGGTAGGGGGCAATTACTACAAAGGGTTCTCCAGAGTTCTCGGAAATGATTTTTTTTTTTTAATTTAAAAAAAAAAAAAAAAAAAAGTCTATGACTTCTAGGAGCATGAAATACTTCAAAGGGCATTTGCGTTTCGGTATTTTCCATGGGGAAGCCAAATGCGGGCGTCAACTGGCTGAGACACTGTTCGGCCCGTTCACCGCGGTACCACGTACACAATAGCTGCTCAATAAACTCCTTCTTCAAGCGACGTCCCGGGCGCGCTCACTCCGCGCCGCACGTCTCCGGGCGCCGCGGGCACCGAGCCGCAGTGCTCCCCCGACGTCTCCACCAGGGTAGAGGAGGAACCCTAGGCCACCCCGAGGTGACCGGGAGACCGGCCATGAACTTCCGAGCCTCATCCCCGGCAGCGGCGGCGATTTGGGGCGTGTTCGCCGGCGGGCGCGCTTCTCAAACGTCTGCAACCTGATACTTACGATTTGAAAAATCTTAAATAAAATTTAAACACGTCTTCCCATTTAGAGTTTCCCCCTAACTGTAGGAATGTGCTCCAAAAGAACGACGGGCTCCGCCTTTCCAGGGGCTGATTGGCGGGGAGGCGGGTGGAGGGCG